TCAACATCTGAAAAAACAGAGTTCGGAATTTTACACTAAAATCAACATCTGAAAAAACAGAGTTCAGAATTATTACCACTAAAATTAACATCTGAAAAAACGAGTTCAGAATTATTACCACTAAAATTAACATCTGAAAAAACATCATCCAGAATCATTACCACTAAAATCAACATCTGAAAAAACAGAGTTCAGAATTATTACCACTAAAATCAACGTCTGAAAAAACAGAGTTCAGAATTATTACCACTAAAATCAACATCTGAAAAAACAGAGTTCAGAATTATTACCACTAAAATTAACATCTGAAAAAACAGAGTTCAGAATTATTACCACTAAAATCAACGTCTGAAAAAACGAGTTCAGAATTATTACCACTAAAATCAACGTCTGAAAAAACAACATCCAGAATCATTACCACTAAAATCAACATCTGAAAAAACAGAGTTCAGAATTATTACCACTAAAATCAACATCTGAAAAAACAGAGTTCAGAATTATTACCACTAAAATCAACATCTGAAAAAACAGAGTTCAGAATTATTACCACTAAAATTAACATCTGAAAAAACAGAGTTCAGAATTATTACCACTAAAATCAACGTCTGAAAAAACAGAGTTCAGAATTATTACCACTAAAATCAACATCTGAAAAAACAGAGTTCAGAATTATTACCACTAAAATCAACATCTGAAAAAACAGAGTTCAGAATTATTACCACTAAAATTAACATCTGAAAAAACAGAGTTCAGAATTATTACCACTAAAATTAACATCTGAAAAAACAGAGTTCAGAATTATTACCACTAAAATCAACATCTGAAAAAACAGAGTTCAGAATTATTACCACTAAAATTAACATCTGAAAAAACAGAGTTCAGAATTATTACCACTAAAATCAACATCTGAAAAAACAGAGTTCAGAATTATTACCACTAAAATCAACATCTAAAAAAACAGAGTTCAGAATTATTACCACTAAAATCAACATCTGAAAAAACAGAGTTCAGAATTATGAATAAAATGGAGAATTTGAAATTACAAAACTAAAATCAGTACAATCAACAGCCTCAAGGATTGAAATTTCAAATGAATTTTTTCCCCCTAATTTTCTACATTTCAAAGGGGCGTTACTGAACAACATTTCTAAGTCATGTAAACAAATAAAGGGCTATGACATTTTGCAAACATTTTGAGATGAACTCTCAAAAACATAAATCAGCTAACCTTAGTCTTTCAGACATCTCAATACTCAATCATTTAAAATTGATTTTAAACTTAGTTTTAATATCCAATCAGATTACTGTATATGTTAAAATCTGGATTTGATCTTTGTTAAGTGAAGAAAACCCTAGAGAAACGTACCTTGTAAATTAGTTAAAGCCTCGAGTCCTATTGGAATATTAGAAATTGATCTCTGAGTATTTCTCATATGTAATGTCTGTAACGCACTTAATGCTGGTATTTGTCTGGAATAGAATATATAGTGAGAGTTAATATCCTGGGTGTAATCTGAGAAAGATGATTGTCATGAAGAAATATCAAAGACAGACCTGTAAACTACAGAGTTTATTATAATCTATTGAAGATATAAATAGTTCAAATTTCAAACAGTACAAGAGCAACACAAGATCAGAGATTTGACTAAGGACCAGCAGATAGACAGGATTCTTGTCATGTGAATGAAGCCATGTCTCGGGATTATAACCTATAGATATAAAGTTAGAAACTATTTCTGTTTTATAATAACTATATAGAGTAAATAGTATAATATATTATAGATTGTCTTACCGTAACTGGGCATGAACAAGAGGATTATTATTTAAAATCAACGTTCTTAAATCAGTTAAACGTCTCATCTGAGGGGGTAACGTTTCTACAAAATACAAATATCAATAATTATTATAGCTGATCATACAGAAATATTGAGGCTTTAAAAATTACTACAACCTGGTTTCTTACAAACTATTTATACTTAATTTAGTGTTTTTTGACGTCAATATCTCGATAGCTGCTATTGATATACACGGACCTTTGTCATAGTGACGTCATAAAACACATAGTTTAAAGGGAATTGTAGGAACCACAGACATCTGATTGAAAATTTGAATGGTACAAATGGATACTATCAGTGTCCCTGATACACATAAAAATTTAGAAAACCTCTAAACAATCTCTTTAAAGCAAAGAGTACAAAGAATTTGACTGATTTTCCTGTTAAAAACGTGAAACTGAAAGTTGAAGAATTAAAAATCATACCTAGACAGTTGTTACTGAGATCTACAAAAACTAAATCAGTTAAATTAATAAATAGTTGGTTTGGTATCATCTCAATTCTAAAATATAAATAATATTACACAACAAACAATATCAGAATTTATAACTAAATCTATACAGAGACGTTGATATCTATACAGAGATGTTGATATCTATACAGAGATGTTGATATCTATACAGAGATGTTGATATTGCAGAATTACTAATAATAATAATAATAATAATAATGTACACAAAACTCAATGTTAAGGTGAACAACTGTCTGTTAATATTTAAAAAAATTCAATTAACAATTTGACTTACTGGTTGTGACTAAGATTTAAAACTAAAACAGATTTAGCGTTTTCTAATTGTGGGGGGACATCTGTTAATTGATTATGGCTCAAATCCTGAAATACATAAAGTAATAATCAGATAAAAAAATACATTTACCTCAAGTTAATATTTCAATTTTACCAGACAAGATTGAGGTCACCTAATGATCTTCTAAACATAAGAATTTGCTGTAAGTATAGAATTTTACATTCAGAAATACTATACTTATGACAAAATTGATCGTAACATTTTTTATGGAACAGGAAATTAGCATTGTGGTCTCTCTGAAAGGAACAACTAGTTGATAAGAGGGATAGCATGTCTTGCTGGACATTTACAGAGTAAATAATATAATACAACTCAAATCAAATAAAAACATAAATATTATACCTACCACAACAGATAGTTCAGACAAATCAAATAATTCTGCTGGAACACCTTTATCAGTAATTTCATTATAACGACAATTTAACTTGGACAAGGCTGGAAGTTTGGGTAAAAACTTTCCTAAATCACTGATAGAATTATTCTTTATTGTCAATTCTTCCTAAAATAATAAACAAACTTGAAGTATTTTGTTCATCATACATGGTTTATAATCAACTATTATCCGAGCTAGTTCGTTGGTATATTGAATTCTGCCAATCTTATTAAAGTGAATTTGAATAAAAGCTTTAAACAGTAATTTTAGAATGATTTTAAGTTGATAAAAATATTAAGCTGAAAGAGGGCATGTATTCTAATAGTACTAATTAACTTACTAATTTATCTAAGTTGGCCAACTCTTGTGGCATCTTCTGTAGATGTGTTGTTGATAATTTCAACCATCTTAATCCTGTCATCTCCTCGATCAACTCCGGAAACTTGTTTCCCTGTTAATAACAAATAATTTTCAAAAATAGGTCAACAGAGAGGGAGGAGATCAGTTATCATTCAATAATAGGACGGAGATAGAGAGATAGGAAGGGTGTGGGGGAGGGGGTCAGGGGGGTCTCCTCGATCAACTCCGGAAACTTGTTTCCCTCTTAATAACAAATAATAGCGAGATCAGTTATCATTCAATAATAGGATGGAGATAGAGAGACAGGTAGGGGGGTGGGGGAGGATTGAGAGGGTGGGAGGGAGGGAGACTTGGGTGGGGGCAGAGTCTAGGGGCAGTGGCATCTTGTGTAATTCAGAAAGTGTATGTCCCTGTAGGAAAAATATTACAGATAACATACTGAAGAGGAATGAAAAAAAAAATGAAGCCATCCATAAAATTATTCAAAATTCTTTTTTCAAGATTTTCTTTATCAATACCACAACTTTGTCACATGAGACATGTTTTTAATTTTCTTATTCTATAATCTTATCTTAACTTATCAGAATATAGGAAAAGGCCTTTAAATTATTCCTCTGCTTCTAAACTTATTTTAATCATGTGTGCGTGAAGTTTGGAATTTCATATAGTCAAAGAGACAGGATATAAGATCATTAGATACAAAATCAGAAATAATCTTTGATTACATTAGATACCCAGGGGGCAGGGACAGCAGGGGGGCAGGGACAGCAGGGGGTCGGGCCTAATGCCAGATGTTAACTTCGGGTTAAAACTTAGTAGGCTTAGAGACTTTAAATGCAAATGAATGTGCCATTCCATTGAACAGTCAAAAAAACAGAAAAATTGTCGACTGGTTGAAAAGCTTGTAATAAATATGGACTGTACAGTATAGAGAATAAAAAATAGGTGCCTATGAGAAGAGGGCATCATCACAAGTCAAAAAAAAAAAAAAATCAGAAACACTAACAGAAAAAAAGGTACTTTGGCTTTGGACTACTTTCACTTTTGAACCATTGAAGCCAGATCTATAAAAATGATACGTAGAGAAACCCCTTATCGTCTGCTTATAACTTATACATCAAAAATAAAAAAATTACAAACCTTAAAGTCATTTTTCGTCAAATCAATGCCTCGGACGAAAGGCAAGACTCCTGTCGCCGCCATCTTGGATTATTGTTAAATAGAGTTATTTCCCTTCGAGTAAAAACGAGAAGAATTTGGCCCGTTGCTGAAAATTAGTCCCATTGCAGACGACATTTTGTTTCAGAAAACTTAAATATCCTAAACAAAAACATCTCAGATAAAACCATCTTTTGAAGTCGGCGAGAGCAGACAGGATAAGCTCGACCTTGAATAAGTCACCTTCATTCATAATTTCAGTCCACCCATCTGTACATGGGTACAGATAATCCGGGAAAGATCATTGCCAAGAGGTTTATCCAAGCTTAACCAACCGGTAGAAAGGTTCCCTAACTGTGAACTCAAGTTGTTATCAAGCAGACCATGTTCACTCTTTTCGAAACACCTGATGGTAT